TTTTAGAGTTTTTTTTTATTTTTATAATTGAGTTTGTTTTATCACCCGAATTTTAAATTTATGAACAAAATATGAGATCATGTGAAGAATGATATGCATGTCCCGATCTATGATTATAGCTCCACTTTTGTTTATGCTTCTCATAGTCTATCTTCGTTGTGTGAAGGAGACCCTCATGAATCCACTTATAACTCTAGTTTCACTTATGTCTTCCTTTCAACCTCTCGCACCTATAAGAAACAGATGGGGCTAGAATTAGAAATAGAACATAATTGAGTAGAATATAATATAAGATTGAGGCTTCGTTTGGGACAGCTTTTTTATTGCTTTCTAAAACTCCGTTTTAGTACAAAAATAAAAAATTTTGTTCTAAAACTCCGTTTTAGAATGCAGTAAAAAAGCCCGCCCCCCCCAAACGAAGCCTGAGTCTATAAAATAGAGTTTATATTACACTTTATCAATCTCCTACAGAACATCATCCATATGATCATCAATATATATGCGTAATTTTGTAGGTTTAAGAGAAACACAAGATGTTAAGCATGATCATAAATGTAGATAGGTCACAATGCAGAGTATAATAAACATGTATATTATTCATGTTTTCTAACTCTCATCACTTAAGGTAATATTCATAGTTAAGCTTTAAAATGTCATTTGGAGATTTATTGGAGATTGTAATCAATCTCAGGTTTATCGGTATTCAACAGAGAAATATTTGAAGTTTAACATAAATAAAATCAAATGGTGAAAACTTTACTTCTTAGAGCCAAAATATTTAGAATAGAGCATTTTACAACATATTAAAAGTTACATGGTGGATTATTAGTTATGCTCATAAAAAATTATTTTTACTCCTTTTCATTTGACAAAAAATATCAAAATTGAAATAAAAATAGGGTATTGGGAGCCTATATCAAGCACGAAGATTTCCCTACCTGGCCCGATGCATGAATTCCAAGCTAAAATCTTCGAATCCCTCTCTCAATTTTCTCTCTCTTCCTCTCTTTTATATGGCAACATCTAAAAGGGTATAATAACCTCAAATTTATTTATTCCTAATTTCCCAAAAATTTGGTTAGTTGAGCACCATAACGTTGGGTGGACAACACCATGGCATTGAGCTATCCAATTTTTTGGAATTTGAGGGAGCACTACAAAGCTAAGTTTGAAGGGCTGAGATGTTGGGTTAGAAAATTCATTTTTTTAATAAAAATATCAAAAGTATTTTATCAATGCCCTTACCATCTCTCTCCTCTCCCACTTTCATTCCTTAGCTAGTGAGAGAAGAGAGAAAGAGAGGGGAGAGAGAGAGAACTCTAGTAGATTAATTAAGAGTTTAAAATAGGAAATTCAGGGGGGGGGTGAGATTTAGGAAAATGAAATTATATATTTATATAGAAAACATCCTTTTTTATCAAGCACCATAGCACTCACTTCCACAACACTATATCGAATATTTCATATGCTCCTAATTTTTTTTAACCTTAGAGCTTGATGCCACAACGCTTCAAAGAGCATTTTGCATGCCTCATGATGTTCTCCATTCCATTTCGATTATAATCTTATTAAATATTAATTATACTTTCTAGAACATAAAATTAATAGTCAAATCAAAAGAGGTAAGGATTTGTACATAATTTATTCGATTAACTAGGAAATAGAACAATGGATATTACTCTCTCGGACAAGCATGCCACACAGGAGCAGGGAAAAGGTCAACTCACAGCTAATGTGGGTGTTCAATCAAAGAGCATGCAGGATTGAGGTGGACAAACGAGCCATGGAAGTGGGCAACATCAGGTTGGAATTGCCGAACGAGCAAGTAGGCTCGGGAGCTAATGCAAGAAAACGGGAGCACAGGAGATGGACCTAGCTAGGTCGTGAGAGGCAAGTTGAACGGGAGAAGGCCGCATGAGGGAGGAGATCATACAGGAGTTCAAGCCATGCGCGGGAGATGGGCTCGCTAGATTGGAATTGAAGTGGATCCAGGACTTAGTAGCAGGCATGGGTTCGAGCGAACAAGTGGAGGTGAAGCAGGTGACTGTCTGTTGGAGGCTTTTTCTTAGGTTGTTCTTTGTGAACAACAGGTGGAGGAGAAGTGATAATTGGTCGTAAAGATTTTTCTTGGACTGTTCTTTGTAGACATTATATGTTTCATTAACTTTGTAAAATTGGACCAATGTAGAGATTGTTAGTTTGTATGTTTGCATTCAATTTTATTGTTTTGCTCCTTTAGGTTGTTTTTTAGTTTATAAATAGAGGTGGGTGGCATTGTATTGTTTGTGTAGCCAAGAAATAAACATTCTTATTTTGTTTTCTCTCTAAGAGTTGTGTTTTTCTCCCCTCTCCCTCTCCCCCTAAGTTCAAGAAAGCTTATCTTCCTGAAAGAATTCCCAACATATAGAGTTCATAAGTACTTGAACCAAGTAAATTCTGTGTGTTTTTGTTTCATTTTCTTTACAAGTGTTATTTGAAATTAATTCTTTGGGATTAAAACTTGTAAAAACTAGATTTGCAAATAAGTCCTAAGAACTGCGCGATCAAGTTGAATGCTTAGAAAGGTTGGATCGTTGAATTTATTTCTTCCATAAACAACACAGAGTTTGGATAATCTCTGAGCTAATTGCCATAGTTTCTTGTCCAAATAATCGTATGCTTTGATGTCTAAAATTTGCGTCAAAATTCATTCTTCTTCAAACTTATTTTCTAGCAGTATTAGTAAGCAAAATACTATATTCATCGAATTTATACAACTATGAATGTGCTGAATATACGAAGCTTATCAACGAATGCTTCAATGAACTAAAAAAATGTGCTGAACATACCAAGCTTATCAAGCTCATTCACTTCCCGTGGCTCAGGTTCTCCTCTGCATTTCGTTGTTTTAAATTGTCCTTTGGATAAGAACTAGAAGAGCACATTTAGTTCCTTGTATTCTGTTGGCCTAAGCAAAAATTCCTCAAATATGTAAAAGCTAAAACATGCATTTTTGTCATATATGAATTTCCTTCATTCTCAACTTCAGTTTCCTCAAATTGCAGCCATGTTTTTGTTGCATAATAGCTTCTGTTCCACATATATGATATTTCAGCTGATCAGAGAAGCCCTCTATTAATCCTTTCCCCAACTCCACTATTGTTCATCACAATTCCTTGATCGAGTTCGTTGCCGTATCAACCTATTTTATAATTCCAAAACTTAATTCAATTATATAGCTAGAGTTGTTAGAAGGTTATGTTTCCAAACCAAGCTTTAGCTAGTTGTTTTTGGAGTTTCAGCAAAACTCTCAACCTTGTTTGTTTTCCTAACCAAAAAAATCCTTAAAGGGATTTTCAAATCTCGAGTGCCATTGAGTAGCGTAGATTCCCATGTAATTTTCTGCTTTTTCTGTATCTCAGGCGTTAAAAAGTAGTCTCATTGGAGAATCATACTGGGCCAGGGAGACAAGATGAATTGGGTGCTGAAAAGTTTGAGAGAAAAGTGGAAGCTTCATGACAAAATCTGCTCATGAGTTGCTGAATTTTGATTTTCTCGACACTTGTGATGAATTAAATCACTATTTTGTTAATGTATTTGTTTACCTTTTTTATGAGCAGTATAATATTATCATTTATTGGAAATTATGAATGTAAAGAAATGAGAGAAAGAAAAGAGCATTTGATCACCTCATCTGATAATCTTGCAGAACTAGGCAGACTTCATACTTGTTAAAACAGGTTTAGTAAATAGCAGGTGATTGTATGGAACCTTGAAATTCAATGTTGTTACATCACAAAAGGAATATCTACAATAAAATCCCTTCCAAATTCCTACAGTGCATTTGTAATATAGCCAAACAAGAATAGAAGTAATATAGAGGCACGGCATGGGTGCCCTTTTCCATCAAACACAGTGAATGTGACTCCCTAACCAACAATTATTTTTAGAAATCTTTTGGTTGTTGAGATCATAAATTCTCATCATTTCTTAGACATGCTTGCGCGCATGGATGAGACAGAGGAATTTTTATTATGCGCGGAGTCTGGAATATCCGGAGACCAATAAAAATGTGCCACGACACCCCAAAAAATGTACCACACTCGGTACCGCTCGGTACCGAGCGCGGTTCCCGAGCGCGGAACCGGATGGGAGAACCGTCCGGTGTCCGCACAAAATAATAGAGAGAGAGAGAGGCTGTTTTATTTTGATGTCACTATTCAGGTTTCAAATGACAGTTTGGTTACTTGCCTGAACTTTTCCAGTCTCCTTAATGCTCCTTATGGGCTGGTAAAGCTGAGCTTTCAAAATGAGCCCATGAGAAAACAAGTGGTACTATAAAGTGAAACCAGTCATACTTTCATGTGAGGGACTACTGTGAGTGGTGGCACAGTGCTTGAGAGTTTCAATGCAGCTAGTGTGCTGTGTGCCCCCTTCATGGTCCCATTTTGTTCTCCCTTCTTTCTTTTTTATGTTTATTCACCTGTTTGATCTAGGGCGTCTCCAACCGAATTTCAAACGACTGTAAGGCATAGCTGATTTGCTCCATTCGAAGGAAAAAAAATCGCTAATCGGTGGAGGGTGAACAGTGCGACGTCAATATTAGCGTTTCATTGTTCATCTACGCGATTTGCAGAAGAAACGAGCGAAAGAGGAGAAAGACGGTTATCTTCGCAGAAGCGCCTAAAATGAAGTTCTATTTGAGATGAATCACGACATTTTTTAATTTCACTATATTATGGAGTGAAAAATGGGACTTTAGGTTGGAGATGCCCTAATAATAACCATTATTTGGCTTGAGAGCTCCGCCATAAGCGCCAAATGAATGTGGCCTGGGAACAACATGACAGGCTTTCAAACTCCATGATTATATTAATTCTGAAATGCAAAAGGTGGAGCAGAGCAATTATCCATACGACTCTTATTTTAATCATTCCAACTGATCATAAGATTTCAATGTTCCATAAATTTCAGTACTCGCTTGCTTCTTTCTTTGCTCCATAAATATATATGTTTAATACCTTCAAGAAGTGGAGATTGGAGCATCTCATAAAAGCCTGGGAAAAAGGATGAACCTGTTGCTGATACTGATACAAGCACGATATATATAGATTGATATAAATCATCACTACCACTCTACCAGTGGTTGTCTTCGTTCCATTAAATTGGTTTTATGGAGGTTTAGTGGTAGGGATGTGAGCTCTTTCTTTGCATTACTTTAGGGTTAGTGTTGTAGGAACAGTACTGCCAGAAATGGACGGCCAAGATTATTCTGTGTGGACACCGGACATAATTTACGTCCAGAAGCGAATAAGGTGCAGCCATGTCATCCAATACCGAGCAATACCGAGCCACGGTACCGAGTAGGAGGTGACATGACGTATTTTCATTGGACTCTGAACCGCGTTCAGCAGCCGCGTAGAATAATTCATCCATCATGTGCATATGGGCTAGCTCATCTGATTTAATGATTCAATCTGATTTGAGCTATATAATAATGAAGTTTTATAGCAAAACTGACTGGGGATTTGAGTAGGAACATTATAAAAGTCTGGGGATCTTCTGCATAGATTTTATTTTATTTTAAAAGGAGACAGATGCTCAAGGTTGTATTCACATCTGGCCGAAAGCATCCAGCTTAAGGCCACTCACTCATAGTTTTCATTAGGCTTAGGTTTCGTTTGG